AAAGATAACCGTCTCATGATTAACTGCACGTTCTCGCTCGAATATCTCTCCAAGCAGCAGACTCAACTCGGAGCGACGAAGTTTCCCAGCGAGGAAGTTTTCCGTTTGAACGCGTCTCCGCAATTCCATACCGTGGCGCAGCCGTTGCTGATGAACATGCGTCTGTCGTTTATTCGAGTCTCGGTGCATCCGGGCTGGGCCGCAAGCCGTGCGTCAAGAGTGAGCGAAAGAACACCGAATTTAAATGCACTATTTGCGAGAGGAGGCTCGAGTCCTATTATTCCGGTGTCTTAACATTGGATGTCGGAACGAGCTAGCTTCCGACATTCTCGGGTGCCCACCGAGACTTGAATATAACTGGATGAGGACGAACGAGTTTCGCGGATCAGATTTACGCACGTACGATCCGAAAATCGTAGCCCCAGCTCCGTTCCATACTTCCGGTAGCTCAACGGTTCTTGTCGCGCTGCCTCCTCTCGAAACCTAAGGCGACTGGTATTCAACAAGCAAGAGGACGCATCAGAGCGTTCCGAGCAGCTGCCTGAACTTCAAGAGAGTAGAGATGACGGAGGATGGAGGCGGAGCGGGGCGTTCTGCTTCAATCGAAGGTATAAGCGACGGACCGACCCACTCACAAGTTGAGCAAGCGAGCATGTAGGGAAAGGACGGACGAGACGTCAAAGCCCAGCACTTCATCGTCGACGTCGTTTCTTGTTGAAGGAAAAGGAAGGGCACAATCTTGAAATCGTACCGCCGTCATCGGCGGCTACTCTACGGCGGAGAGGCTGAGCATGATCAGGCAGGTGCTGCCGGCTCAGCGACGTCGATGGCCAGCAACGCAGCAACTCGATTGACAGGTTATCTATCAGGACACGCCGCCGTAATTGGCAATTTCTCTCATTACGGGGGACCCAGTCAAGCCATATCAAACAGGCACACGCTCGCCTCGGTTATGGCCGAGAAACCCGGCAGGAACGGTGCGAGCTCTTTTTCGTCTCACAATGGCTATGGGAGAATCTTTCGACCGACCTGCGCGTAAAATCAGGTGTACCCCGCAGTAGCTCATGCGTTATGCTTTACGTTTCCGGGGTCGAATGGGGGGAGGCGAGCTGCCTGGTGAGGCCCCCTGACAAAGCTCAGGATAAATAGGCAGATAGACGGAGCGAGCGCATAGCGGGACGGATGGTCGGAGGGGGAGCGATGGATGGACGATGGTTCACGCAGCGATGAATGGCCTGAAGACCGCACGCAATGCTCAGCACGTTCGTGTCATACGCCGCACGGCTAGATTTGGTGCGTGAAGCATCTCGCTGCCTCGAGACCTCCTTCGAGCGATGCTCACTGGGAGCATTTCCGCATAGCGATCGCTCCGCGGCCGCCATGCCGCAACAGAGCCATGCTTGCAAGCGGGTCCTCCGACATAGCCTTGGAACGTGAGGCGAAAATGCCGCGGTACCGCAATGCATGCTTGAAATGGGTGACATTCCCGGCACTTCGCTGGCTTACATTTCTCCGAGAACCACGCGGGCAGGGCCGACGTCTTCGGCAGATAAATGCGGACGGGCTCCGTTTCCGGAGCTGCACCGTCCATTCTCAGCAGCAATGCACGTGAATAGGCAAATCGACATGTCAACGAAAAGGGCGAGAGGGGGGCAGTTGGCCAGCGTGACCGTCCTGTGATGAGTTATTCGTGCGTACGTGAGATCGCCACCCCGGATATATTTAACACTGTGTAAAGCTCACATCGTGATCGACGCAACAGCCTATCCAGAATGAGACGCGACGAATTGACATGCAGGCAGGCAATTAGGTCTGCATTTTAGCGTGAAGAGCACACGTCTGTAGAACAGCTGTTCATTGTTGCTCCTGAGCGAGTTCGCGAGCCATCGCTGCCCCCTCACGTCTACGCTTTGTAAATATGTCCAATGGGGAATCGCGTGAATGTGAGGCTTGTTTGCCTTGGAGAATGATGAAAATATGAGTAGATTGACAACGAGAGCATACAGTGGCGTCGAAGGTGATAATAATAGACACCAGAATGGAGACGAACGCTCGCCTCGGGCCGTGATATCGACGAGGCTTTCGGTTTCGACGGCGGGAACCGGTCGACGAGCTGCTCCCGGTGGGAAAGGAAGCACAAAGAGCTGGGACTACTCCCGAGAAACACCAGGCAGACAACGAACTAGCAGCAGCGGTCGCTTCGGCGGCGGTGCCTGATTTGTCTGTTCATTCTGCGGGGATTGGTTTTTGCTTGGTATCGCCCTTCGAGCATTTCAACATCGCTCGGCAGCGATGAAATGCAACGCGGCGAACGCGCGGCAGCACGTGCACTGCGACGAATGCGCCACCGCAGATGCGTTCCGGCTCCATTCAATCAGAGATGAAATGGACACCGATCGATCATTTGCATGTTTTACCACGCGGGAGGTAACTGGATGCCTTGCCCCGGATCATGCAAAGAATCGACATGATCGCGTGCTCTTCCCGTTTCCTACGATCGCAGAGGAAGTCCGACTGATTTTCTCGCCGGCAATTACAGCTCGTATACGGACGACGGCGCCTCGGGTTCCGGTTCAGACTTCGAATTTCCGGGCGGGGATCCAGCTCGTCGCAGCGCGCGGGTCAGGGGCTTCGTAAAGAAAAAATATCCCCAAAGATCGTCCGGAAGACCGAATTGAGATAATGAGCGCCGACCGCCGTACGTCCGACTGTGCATCGGAGCTCGAAGAGAATGGCAGGGGAAGAATATCGAATTCGCATCGGGTTCACACCAAAGATGAAGGGAAGCAAAACGACCAATCGCAGAAGCGGGCAAGGGAATCGGTAGAGACAAGGAAGATACTTTCCGTAATTATCCACCATCATCAATCCACCATAAATTATCCACATTACGCCATCGTCGAGACGATAACAGAGAAAATGAGTCCGGTTTTCAGCTCAGGTCTCGCTGCTGCCGTTCCCTCGAGTCCCTTGAGCCTGTCCGGTGGTCTTCTCGCTCGGTGGTCTGTGAGTGAGTCTCAAGCTCCCGTACGCCTCCGCGTGTTGCTCCAAACAAGCCGCTAATAGGCTAGCGAGTTAAGCGGACTTTCAGCGACAAGTTGCGGGCTCAATTTTGTTCCTTTATGCATCACGCCTCCTTCCTAGGGCGTCGCTGTGACCCTGGTATAAAAGACTCAGTACGCCTAAATAGGCCGCGCTCACTCAGTTCCAGCAATGGCGCTTGCAGCGGCCAGGCCCGCCTCGCCCGAGTCGGGCCATTCTGGCGGAGCTTCTGCGGAGCAAACCCTCGATTCGACGCGTTCCCCCGCGGGAATGGTTTCGGAAAAGTTGCCTGACCGTCGCCGACTTTCGGGGCTAGCTAAACGAATTCTACGTGAACGACAGGATCTTGCGAGCGTGCTGCACGCAAGGCATTCTCGTCGGATGCTCGGCAATGATCTGACCGGATGCTCCGGGGTATCGAGAGAGAACAGCAGAGGGAATCAGGAAACGAAATCGGAAAATTCACCCCTGAAAATCAAGTAGCTCAAGGCACTTTTATACACCTTCTCACAATCGGGTTTTGTTCATCTCCTCAGGTCACTGCGGCAGCTGAAAGTGCGCGATAAGGGTTGACGAGGCTATTTAGTGCTCACCGCCGACACGGCCGCCCCGTCATGGTAAACGGCGTGATATGTTCCGACCGAGCCTCTCCATCGAATTCATTTCGTGCGAGCTCCTTTCGTCCCGAAAGGTTCGCTGCCAAGCCTTATACCGGACCGTCGTTGCCGCTTCTCCGTGAGCGATCTTCCCGCTCAGTCAGAGCTCGAACAAGCCGAGCCCAGACAAATCATGCAAATTGCCGGCGTCATTTGATTCGAGTGGAATCGATTCGATCAGCTCTAGGACCGGGAGAGAAGGAAGAGGGATCCCACGTCCCTACTCCAACCGATGACAGGAACTCTGAGACAATCAGGACCTCCATCGGGAGCTGTCTGTGAGCAATGGAAACGGATCGTTCTTGGGCCCAGGCATCGCTCCGCATTTCTGGATCGGGAACTTCGCTCGATTCCCGAATATCTTCGAAAGATCAATGATCACGCGATCGTCACGGTCCCGGGACAGGAAAGCTCGAGAAAAGACACCATGATATGGGAGCATGGCTGTTCGATGGCCGCCACGTGAGAGGAATCGAAGGAAATTGCGACAAAGCTCCTCTCGATGAGGTTTCCCTGAGGTATATTCCCCTAATCATGCTATTCAAGTCCCACCCTGCTGACCACCCCAGATGAGCTCTCCTCAGATCCTCAATTACCGTGCTCGTATCCCAACTCGAAGCAACATATGGAATATGAGCTTAGAGGGGGGGAGGGTGGTTGTCAAGGGTTCGCTAGGTAAGCCTTGAAGGAGCTCGCACCGGCGAGAGACCCGGAGGTCTCGATAGGATCATGAATTGATATAGGGCACCCAATGTAAATAAAGACCTCTTAATGGAAGCTAAGGCCGAATGCGGGGCGCGGAATAACAATGAGCGAGGCGATAATAGGAGAGGGATCTTCTCGAAAAGAGTTTCATCATCATGATATAGGCAGTCCTAAGCAACGAAGAAGCGGAGACAGAGTATATTAGCGCGAGTTTCCTATTTTAATATCGACGAGTATCTCCTGCAATCTACTGCCTCCAGCGCTCTGATCTGTCGTCGCTCGAACCACGATCGGCCGCTACTCGGGGCGAAAGTTCTCAAAGTTAGTCCTGCATTCAATGAGCGACGCGGCGTAACTGTAATCGCCATTGGCTACTCTGACGAGCTCGAATGAGAGGAGACCAGGTAGCGCCGACACTTCCTGCGTGATCTCGCAAATAGAAACTTATTAAGGCCCTCGGGAGCGCCACTGACGAGGAACCAACGGGAGGACAGCTGACGAGATCGGAGCAGCTCATGAGAGCACGGGAAGCGCGGATGGCTCCCCGAAACCACTGGGCTGCGGGCATAGCGTACTCCGGTGCGCGGAATGACTTACCTTCGTAGCAGGTGGCGGGTCCTCCCCCGGATTGGCGGGGATAGCTGCATCGTAGTTCGCCAAGCTGCTCAACAAAGTGGCGACCCTGGGACGTTCAGGATTTTCCTCGTGGTAGAGATACAGATTTCTTTCATAGCTCGTCAAACCCGATTCTGCGTTGCCGGAATCCATCGCTTCCCCTGAAACGAATTTTCTCATTTGAGCCAGTTTCATAACTTCCTGCTATTGCTCGTTCCTTGTTCGACGTCGTTCTCGCCGTCGCCACCGCCGGCCGCAGCACCGTCAACCGAGTCTTTGCCGTCATGCGTCTGCCAGCGTAACTCTAATGTTAGAAAAATGATTCGTTCTCGAAGAGCGGAATCTCAGCGAAACGACAGACGACAGGAAGACGGACGAGGGAACGGACGAAAACGACGGCGGCGGCGGCGTCGGCAACCCAAGGGAAAGCTCTTAGACTTATTTTCGCTTTTCATTTTCCGCACATCATACGACCGTGTCCTGTCAGCCACAGATGTTCCCTAGGTCGTTGTTAAGTTTCGGCAAGAGTGGACTATGCCTAGAACGGAGCAAGCGTTTGGCGCGACATGCTCAAAGACAGGAGAATCAGCCTTCGAAAAGTGAGAGGTACGGAAGTCGCATTCGTCAACATCTCTCTCTCCCCGATGCTCCAATCCCTTTCTGTGCACTCCCAGCCCTTCCAGAGGAACAAGAGTTTGGGGTCCGGGCTCGTTGGGAAAACCACTTGTGCCTTCTAGCGCACACGTCTGAAACTGCAGCACAGCGCCGAGCTGTTTCGGACTGCCAGCGAAGCTCCGCGCTGCTGCTTTCGTTCAGGAGCTGCAGTGGACCAAGACTAGTTACTCTAGAATTGGCGGTGGCGCGGCGTATGTTTGCTTTCACTCATCCGGTGCTTGAGAAAGACAAGTCAAACCGAGTAAGGAAAAGAAGTCTGCCGTATCGGCGCTGGCTTCTCGAGCGAAACATACCGCGCAACAAATGACGACCATAAACACAGGTATGTCAATGGTCAGGCAGACCCCCTTCGTATACGGTGCTCGTACATCGCGACCACACCGCCATCGACCGCTGTATTCCATTTCATCATCTCGACCAGCGTACGCGAAGACACCGGACTCGATAAGCGAGTCGAATTAGACGGCAGTCAGACGGTCTTCGTTCCACGCTCCGGAACGTCGGCGAACGTGGACCTGATGAGCTCCCAGAGCAGGAACGCCGGCGGCAGCGGCCTAGATGACATTTCCATCCTGAAGTTTCTCGAGGAGAAGAAAAGTAATAATTCGCCGCGGAAATATCATGTGGGGACCGACACTCTCTAAGGCGACGACTCCGAGATGAGAACTCCCAGCGCTCCCGAGCCGTGGATCGTCGGGTCATTCGCTCGTCTTGCGCTATTCCCACGGCAGCCTCCCAGACGGGATGATCAACGAAGCTGATCGAGAGCTTTCTGAGTGTCTTCATTCCTGGCTTGCCGTTCTCAGCTCACGGTACCCACATGAAGAATCGCGTATAAGCGAGCCCTCAATACATACTATGGTACAGTGCTTGTGCTCAAGGCTCGACCGTAACGCTGGCGCTGACGGAAACTCTCGAGGCGAGCGGTGAACTCGATTTAGTCACGCTCCAGCTTGAGATGAAGAGGAGGATAAGGATTTTAGGTCGTCGAGCCGACTTTGTCAAGGAACTTCACCTGCCATCACGACGCGGATGCTTCGTTTTGGTAGAGAAAAGCATCTCCCCATCTCGCCCTCTGCTCAAGCTCAAATCGCCATCGTCAGCTCTCGGAAACTTCTCTCCGCTGTTGAACAAAACCTCGTAACGACCTCCAACTTTCCGTCGTACAAATTATGTGTGGATCTCGGATTTCTCTTCGCCGGCCCCTTTCCGACCTGTTCCTCCGACAGAGGAAGCCGTTCGGGAACTATAAATGAGCCCTCGAAGACCGGGAGCTCGTTGCGGAGCGACAGTCTATGAAGGCTCGATGTTCCGTAGTAAAATCGTTCAGCTTTGAAAAGTCCGAATTAAACGAAATTTGCTGTTTTTCTGACGAAGTTAAGGTTCCACCGTTTGAAGAATCCTCAACGGGAATTCCAGCAGTCGTTGATCAATGCCTCAGGTGTCATTGAAGGCCAAGCATGATCTTGAAGGAATTCCCTCGACAGCTCTCGAATATCTTCGTCCAGCTGTCATCAAGCGGACGAATCCGCTCCATCAAGGCAAGTCAGGAGAAATGGACCATACGCAGATCCAGGCAAAACTCGGTACAGCGATCTACTACCGCAAAGTCCATTCGTTCCCTGACTTCGTTTTCCGGAGATATTCCTCACTTTTGCCCGTGCCCCATCAATGTTCGACTGAGCATCTCACAGAGTTGTTCCCTCTCTCACGTTCTAAGATTTCTCGAGAACTCTTCTTAGATCCCGAGGGCGGAGGATTACCCTTCCGGAGAGCCGAAAGACGGAATCCAAATGGAACAGGACATTATCCCGCTCGCTCTGAGTATCACGAGGCCGCGGCGCCTGCGGAGGAAAAAGCCGATAGCTTCCTCTGTTGCTCCGGAGCTGACGGCACCGGCGATTTGTAACCGAACGGAATGCTGGGGGCCTCTAAATCGATTTCCAGGAGGCTTGGCGGGGTTCATCGTCCAAGCTTCGTCCGATCGTTCGATTCGGCCGCACACCGTCCTGTATACGCGGATATCTCTTTATGGTGGGAGATCCATCGTCAATCCGCGAAGTTGGAAGTCTCCTCGAAATATCGTCGCTTGGAACGATTCCGAAAAAGCTCCGAACTTTACTTTGATCCCAGGATCGGCCTTTTTATCGAAATGCAATTAAGGTGGCCAAGAGACGCTCCCTCTGGATTAAGATATCGACGGCGCGTCGTTGAGGCGACGTAAGTTTCGGCCGCCTCGAGAGCCTCATGGGCCGATTGCCTAGTTGGATAACCGATTCAGTTCACGAGCACTCTGTTACCTTAGGCGGAATCGGGAGACTATCGCTCGAGGCTCTCAAACTTGGGAGGCGAAAGGCCGTCAGAGTTGAAGTGGCAACCAGGAAGCCGACTCGGCTCGAGATTCGAATTTTAACTTCGATCATTCCGTTCAGAAGGCTTCATTCAAGGCCGCGATGCAGTCGAGGCGACTGGAGGAGCGCGCTCTCTAGTGATTGATGAAGATTTTCCTTTGTGAGACCCGTGACCCCTGAGCGCGATGACGAGAACTCTGAAGCTAAAAAAATCGCGCAGGGCTGAGCGTACGCCGACAACGACTGTTCCGTTTGGCGGCGGCAGGGTTCCGATATATCGCTTCTTCTCGCGCCAGCAGAGGGACCGTCCCTTTGAAAGTTCTGTGATTGAGGAAGCATCGGAATCCGACGATGTGAGTCGTGACCTTTTCAATTGCTGCTCCGAGATGAATTGAGGTGGACCGTTTCAGGAGTGCTCTTGCCTCTGTAGCCTCGACGAACAAATGATGGAGAGGACTTACCAGCGAAGGCCAAGATTCCCACACGGACCGGGTGCGAATCCTTCCTCGGCAGAATGAATAAATCACGAAGGATGTTCTTTGATTGCCAGCGTCTCGTGAAAAACAAGTTTTTTGAGCGCTGCTTGCCGGTAATAAGGGTTTCCAGAGCTCATCAGCACGAGGTACGAACTTCAGTCCCGTTTCATGAATAAAGGACAAGCACTCGTTGAGCTAGCTCACTGGGAGATCCATTGAACTTCCCAATAGAGCCATGGTGGGTTCCAAAACTTCTGCTCCTGGGATTCCCCGTCTGCCTGCGAGCCTTTCGTTCCAGACTCGCGTTTGGGAGATGCTACACATGAGGACGACAAAGTCGCCACCGTTCGGTCGTAGAGCTCTCCGCGCGATTTGTCGTCTCGAAATGGAGTAATCGGTACGCCCCAGGAGTCTAGAGAGTTTAGCTTTGCTTGGCTGGATTCTTAGCTGGCCTGACTGTCGGGCTCCTCCGTCGGATCGCTCGAAGAGTTGTCGGCAGGAGACCGGCCGCCGGGTGCCTTAGTTCGGGAGGCCGCTGCCGCGGATTCTTGAAGCTACATCTCTGCCTTCATAGTCTTACTCCGTTTCCTCTCCTGAGTGCTCCCATGTTCTTTTGGGCTCCACAACTCGCAGCTGCCTGCTGACGAAACAGTCTGTCTGCCTCTCAATCCTCCGCTAACTCCGTCGGTTAGCTTCACTCATGGACTCTTGTACAGCTACCGTGGGCCGCCGTCATCGCCAAGGGCTGCAGCGTTTGGATAGAACAGAAGAAGTTTTTTCCTAGCCTTATTTCCTTTTAACAGGGTTTGGCAGAAACTGAGGACCCATTCATTGTGGCCGCCGTCTTCGTTATTCTATTGTTGCTGTTTGCAACTACATCCTCATAGCTTTTAATGAGAGTACGACTCGCTGCTCCCGAAACGGCACCGGTCGCTCTCCTTCGTACTTTATGAGGGCCACGTACGTCTCTCGACGAGGTCTCTGCCATCGTCCGTGAGACTCCGTGTGGACCATCCCGGAAACAGACGTAGGAAAGGGGTAACTCCCGCTACGGAGGGCGACATTGCTGTTCTTGTTAGCGAGCGGATAATTTTGACACACCTGGCGTCCTGGTACGTTTTCGAGACTTCTCCGAAACTCCGAGCCACGTTGCTGGGACGGACGCTTTTGAACTAGCCAATCAGTGAGCTATTGCCTTTGCGTTTATAAAGGGGAGCTTTCGATCGCAATGTTGACCTACGCAGAGCAAACTGAGGACGACATGAAAGTACGATTCGCGGCGTGAATTGAGTGGCTACCTTGGCGCCGATAAATCCATCACACGATAGTTGTTGGACCGACGCCAGTCCAACATCACCGCCGTTTAGATCGTCTGATCCCCTCCGTTATTTATGATCGCCGTTGTCTCCCTAGGAACTAATGTCCGCCCTCCTCGATTTCTAACCCTGCTCCCCGGCGCAACCGTTGGCTGGGACTCTCTTTTAGTTGGATCCGTACCGCATCTTCGGGCGTTCATATCCTTGACCCTTTCGTCTGCGAGGTTCTCCGGTGCGCGCAAGGGATTTGATTGAGAATTTGTGTCCGCTGGTCATTGTTTGTTTCTCTCTCTCCGGCCAATGAATGAACGAGACTAGCCGCAGCACAAGCGGCTTCGCTGGGAAGGACTTGATAAATGGATTGATCAATACAGCTAGCGAGTGTAGACTCCGGCGGCCCGGAGTAGCTACGTAAACAATGAATCGAACTAGCTGCCTTCGAAGTCCGCTGTACGAGTCCGTTGAATAAACGCACACGAGCGCACGATAACATAATCACATCAAATACGTTCGGAGGGTACTAAAAGCGCTAGCCGCTCTCTGGCTCTGATGGTGGGCTGAGCGCGGAGGGAGCCAAGCACCAGCTTATCAGCAATCGATTCGATCAGTGATCGGGCGCGTTCGGGTCGTATGCCCTCCATCGAAGAATGTACATATTCCTCGAGATCGCATCCCGTTGAATGGGAGAACAGAATCACCCCGGTCCAGCTTGGTCTGACGTTGCCCATCCCCTCCACTTCAATCATTACTGATGCCGCGAGTCGCCGTCATTCTCACGGCGAGCTATCGAATCATACATAGCTCGGAAAATCTCGACGGAAAATACTTATCGAACGAAACCGTGATGAACCGAAACCTTTGGAGAGGGATTGAGCGATGAGCACGGATTCCCGTCTCGGAACACGTCTACATCAATGCCCCCGTTTGGCGGGGCGGGAAACTCATCCGATATCCGGGACAGCGGACGTTCCTGACTGACGAGATTCCGTTTTACGGCGAATTGACCGTATCTTCGTTGCTCGACGCGTCACGAGAGCCAACCCGCGGGTCGAACCCGATGTCAAGCGAACGAAGACGTGCGCACATGGCACCGAGGAAAGGGAGTACGCAGCCCTTATAGGAATACTTCTCGCACTCTCATCGCATCAAGAGCAGGAAGCCGCGGCATTCAGGGCATCCGAGCTGTGGATACTCGAACCAGAACTCGGTTTTCGTGCGCGTTCCGAAGCTGTCTTGCGAAGGAGCGCCTCCAAGACCCAACAATCGAGAACTGGCCTGGGCTCTGAGCTCGCTCCTGGAACGGGAAGACCATCCGCCCGCGCAGCTGAGATCGTAATTGCGCCGTGGATCGGCAGGCATTTCCCCTCTCCCAGATTGAGAGCAGGGGAGCCGCTGTCGGCGGCGGTCAAGGCAGACACGCTTGAGCTGTCCTGACAGACCGATGGATTGAAACTCCGCGATCGGAAACGCCCAACGCACGGGCACTTAAGATGGATGGGTTGCGAGTTTGTCACTCCGGTCCGTGAGGCCGATTGAGAATCTTTCCGGGTATCGCCTGAGATTCGCGGCATCTCGTCTCTCGAAGCCGCTTACGTTAAAAAATGAACAGGCCAGGCGTGGCCTCGTGCCACCGACCTGCGACCATCTATTTGGAAATGAGTGTCGTCTCCGTGTCATGGGTCGCCGGCAGTGACTCCGCCTAGATTCTACCGATAGAGATGCTGTTGACGATCACCGATCTATAGTCACGCCAATTGCTCGAAACGTTCGGATCAGGCTGTCGAGCCTGAAGCCGGAGCTGGGGGCGATTCGATCGATGTGGTTAAGATGAGAGAGTATAATTACAAGGTACATCAATGTTGTGGAATCCAATCAAGGCGCCTAATATTCTCGTTGGCGTCCATAGGTACTGTATGAGACTCTATTTGACTCGCTTCCCCTGGCATGGTTATCTGCTGTAGCCTGTACTACTGAGTACGGTCGAACGACATACGCAAGCTCTGATACCCCGTCGGAACAACATTTTCGCCGACGTTGCAAATAAACATTCCCCCCGCGAGTTCGCCATAATCCGATTGACGGAGACAAGTCAGCGAGCCATGCTGAGGGATGCGGGCCCCACACCACATCGCGTCCGCACGCGAATAACTCCCTCGCAGATAAATATTCGTGCCACTGTCTCGTAAAGGCCGCTCCCCGATAGATATGGACACGGCTGTCAAGCTCCCGCTCCAAGAATACCGTCTCTCTAACGTGCATAGTCTGTGATTGAGAGCGAGAGTGGGGAGAGATTAGCTGTAGAGGAAACATTGGAGAATCATCACTAAGAATTCGGGTTTCGATCGCGAATGGCACTGCGGTGGGCATTCGCTGCCGTGGGTTCGGAACCTCCCGGTCTAGGATCTAGGTATGTGTCCTGTAGCCTTCCTTCTGGTCGGTGGTCATCGTCCACGGCGACAGACAAGCACAACATTCGACCTCCTCAGATGGCGAGCGAACAAGCCCCAGGCAATCTGACGAGAGCCGGAGGTGGGGCAACGAAAGGATGAACGAATGGACAGGCTCCCCAGAAAGCTGCCGCTGGGTGACATTGAACACGATCAGACAGCTCAGTCGCTATCGGCGATCGATTGTTGCAGTTAGCTTGCTTCTCACCATTTATCCGCTCACTGTCCATTGTCGTGTTTTTTTCCGTAGTCAACAGAGGGTTAGATTTCCAAAGACTGCAGCCCACTCCGGAAAAGAGTTTGTTCACTGGAACGAAGGTCCCCAATCTTTGTTCATCGAAATAACACAGGGGCTCGGCGAGAGAATTGAATTCGATCCGTCGAGGCTAATGCAGGAAGCTCGGCGTTGACCTAGATACCACAAACCGCAGTGAAAAATCACGAATCGAGGTAGACTCGCAGTGCCGATCCGGAGAGAGTCACCGTCGCTGCCCCAATGCATTAAGTCTAATCTTTTAATTTGCGAGATCGTCTTCAATTTACGATTGGCTCTCATGCAATTATTTGGCTCCAGGGCGGATTGAGTCTTGCTTTTCTCACTTCTTTGTGCGTCATCGGCCTAACCTTCCTCGCTTAGTCTTATCTTAATCTTCAATTAACTCTAATCGAAAGCAGACTTTAGAAAGACAACAATATTTTCCCCGATTTGTACGAGAACTGCGATGGGTGGGCGGGAGGACGAATAGTAGATCGAGCGATGGATTGTTCGATTGTTCGAGGGATGGATTGATGGATGGCTCGAGGGACGAACGGCTACAACTGACGGATTTCCGGGGAGCCTTCCCGCCTGTTGATGCTTGAGCTAATAATGGCTGTCGGAGCTCTTAATCGATCGAGAAGTTGAGTGACGTCATATCTTAGAACAATGGGCAGCAGTCGACGAAACCTTAAGCGAGAAGGAAGTCGCTTTCTGTACGCGACAATTTCGCTGTCAGCTGTCAAGAGCACGATACTCCGCTTGTCACGATGGGAAGAGTGATCTAATGCGAGCTTCGGCCTCAGAGGTACGATTCCAGAATGACGGAGCTCCACAGATGCACTCCGGAAGACTCGACGGATTTTAGCCGCTCCGCTTGAACTCCGCTGTGCTGCGGATTCGTCCCTCTGGCGGGAGCTGATTTTGACAAAGTGGACAGCGACCACGAATACGCTCCGGCTCGTTGAATAGTAATGCTGGCTGTGCTGACGCGATGTTTGATCTGCAGTCTATCAGTCGGCCCCGACATCGGAGCTCACGGGCGTCTACCCGAGTCGCGAAGCTCAAAACCTGGAGACGTTGGATCCGGCGGAATTTCTATGACGACAGAATCAAGGAGAGTGGCATCCGAGGATCGAGAGCGCGGTGGTCGCAGCGCGGCGAGCCACCATCTCGACCTGCTAATTGCGGCGAAATTAAGACCCCCTACAAGATCGGAATTCCGAAATTGTTCTCTCGAAGAGCTCCGTTGATGACTCAGTCGGCTCCGAAGCTAGCGCGATTCCGCGTTACCCAAACCCGAATGCTGCGAAAGAGAGCTGGTGAAACCATTCGTGAGTGCCCGTCTTTGCGCAAGTTTATTCCGTACAACTTCAGAGAGCAGCTGCGCCCCCGAGCAGTGGGAAGGAAACGAATAACTGTCATAAACTCTACCCGGGTCGTCACTCACGTTCCGCAGGCCGCTCCCTTTCCTGCAAAGGTTCCACTGGCGCTTCGTTCCGCAGGCCGCCCCGTTTCCAGCAAAGGTTTCACTGGCGCTTCCTCCCGCAGGAGCACACACGAAGTAAACCCGATACTCCGAATCCTCCCGCAACCTGTCACGCACATTGGTATGCAAAACAACGGCGGGTACGTTAATTCTCGCCGGCTTGCCTTCGCAGGCATTTTATGCGGCATTTTGACACAGCGCGTAAATAAATCAATTCCAACTGAGCGCTCCGGAATGAGGTTCGGCGACCGAAGTTCAGAGTTTCGCTGACCTGCCAGACAATAACAGATTACTTGCAGCTTCTGAGCGCGGGGGACTCTATTCTGAGTTTGGGATGAAAAAGTTCATCTTTCTGCGTCAATGTAGGCTTTCGCGGTGCGGATGTCATCGTCGGACCTCCGAGCCATCCAACCTCCTCGCCCGGTGACCTCCGAGAGAAAAACAGCCTCAAGCTTATTCGGTAGTCGACCCTCCGTCCACCCGATACGGGGCTCCATCTTGGCATGCTATAATCATTCTCAGATTGCCGCGGAGAGTGGCCTTTGCGCCAACCACTTAGGCGCACGAAACGACACACGACGCCCCCGCGACTCGCGAAATTCCACGCTCAAGCAGCTAGCCGGGAACTCCCAAGATTCGAGAACGCAGACGAATATCCTCATGAGGAGATTTCTGTCGCACGTGCTCCCAGGGATGCGGATCAAGTTTCAAGATTTCGCAGCGAAAATGCTGCATACAATCCTCGGGAAGCGAGGTTCGTGAGGTTCGGTAGTTCCTGGGTTCGGTTGATTCACAGCCGATGTTCGCATTGAGTCAGTCGATTCCACAGAGATGAGCCGAGGTCTTGTCGATTCGGGAAGGCGGGGAAGGCCAGTGAAAAATCCAGGAAATTATTCCCCCTCTCCGCTCTAGAAGCCGCGCTCGGAATTCCACATTGTGGTTTGCCCGCTGCATATATCTCACCTTTCACCGGGAGAAAGGGAAAGTCGAATAGAATGGAGCTCATTCAAACTCTGCAGATAGATATGTACCCGATTCAATCTCAGCGTCTCTAATGGAACGTAATCCAGCAATGTGCGCTCTAGCCCTCACATCGGAGCAAAACCGCTGCGAACGAGCGCGACTCGATCGATAGGGTTGACGTTTCCACGCACAGCGTATTCTCCCCGCGAGCAGCGACGGAGCTCTCCGCCAGCCATGCTTCCTCGAGTCGATAGGCATGTTTATATGCAAGCGAATCCCGGAAATCTTCTAGGAACAGTTCTTGTCGTAGTGCGGATAACGACACTGAGTTCCGCGATCTTTGTGTGTCGAGCATCTCGCTATTCCGTGGCTTTGAGCTATTCTGCTTCCACCGAGGAAGCGGCTTCAATGGTCGCTATGTAAACACGATTGCTACCTGAGTTGAGCCTCTCGAGATGGATCCGCTGCGTTGAATGCATTTCGGCAGCCACGTCTGAAGACCTGACGGAACTGAGGAGGGACTTGCACCAGCCACACACCAACGAGCGTCCGAACACTTTCACCGTTACCCGGGAGGGATCAAGCTCCGAGGCGCACAATCACAAGCTCTCAGCGTCGGAATGGAAATTTCGGCGCCGAAGGGATCTTTCTCCGGAATTCTAGCCGACCGCATACATCGACTCGTGCATGCACCCACTGATTTGCTTTGAAGCTGAACAGTAAAGTGAAGTGAATCTGAGTGAATCGAAAGGCAGGATGCCAGACAGGCGGGAAGCATCTAGGCAAGCGGCAGGCTGGTCACTTCTCTCGGTTCTACGGTAACGAAATGTTCGTCGACCTTGTCTCGATTTCTCTGGGTCGCTGACCTTGGCCCTTCTCAGTCAATGTCCTAGTTTCAGCGCTCTTCGAGTCGTTCGTAATCATCACTTCAAGTCTCGATCCCGTCAAGTATGATCATGACCTTCTCCACCTTCTCCCGGATGACCTAATCCCGCTCTCAACCGGCAACAAGTCTCCGCCAGATATTCATCTACTAGAGCACCCAGGTCTCACGGTCGGTCTGTCCGTCATCCCGCTCGGCTATGAAGATCGCCGACCGCGCGGTTCGTCAGATGGTTGGGCGGGGGTAAGCGAATGGGACGGTCTACAAGCGAGTTTCGAGCGGAGCATTGCCGAATATCTGGAAGAATCTCGCCCTTTCCAATCTGTAGGACGAGCTCTGGCAGTCGCTTCGGGAGGGAATCATCACCGAACCCTCAGGTGCGCCGGACAACAAACTGTTATCCGAATCTCTTGATCGATCACACGGTTGCGAGTGCGCGAGAAACCTTCTGTCTCTCTGCTAGCGAAACGGGTACGGAAAGCGCTACCGGTCCTCGATGGGCGAGTTCTTGTCTTCAGATCGAGGACGAGGCTCGGAACGTTGCCTGACCACCAGCCACCGACTCCGCCACCATTAGAATTAGCGGAGTTCAAGCTCGTTCAACGACCTGCTCGTTGAGTCTCTGAACCTGGCCCTCAAAAAATACTCTGTCTCAAGGTTCGCTCTAGGAATTCTTCATGTTTACTCTGTGGAATTTCGAGAGCTAGACAAACGACATCGAAAGCAATCAAACTCCGAGCGGAGTTACAGAGAGACTCGGAAAAGAAAGAATTGGTCTCCCGATCTTAGTCCGCCCAGCAACCAAGACGAGAAAGATCGAGATGAAGAAACTTTCGACCATATCGGTAAGATAAGGGAAAATACTAGAGCTCAGTCTGGGGGAGCAGATGCCTCCCTGCCGAGTTTTTCCGCCGGGTTTCGGTCTCTTCGCAGAGAAGGTTTGAGTTGCGTCTTGCGATAACTGAAAATCTTCCGCTCCGGAGCCGTGCAGCCCCACCGGAAATTTTCCGCATCTTGAACAGTTCATGTTCCGGTCGAGCTTCGACTTAAACTTGCAACATGGTCAATATAAAGCCATTGACCGTCGGAAATGCCGGTAGACACGGAGTCTGATAGGTTGGCTCTCTCCCGCTCGGCCTCCGACCAATTGATTGAAACACCAATATTGTCCGTGGTTCAGCTAAGAACAAGATTTTCGCGGAAACCCTAGTGCCTTGAGGCGTTTGCCGCAGAGGGATATTTTTCAGTAAATCGGGAAGCATCAGATAGTCGCGATCGACGTCAGCGAAAGCTAGAGAGATCAGGGATCTCGCCTCCGACGTTTCCTCTTCCTTCGGAGAGAGTCCTTCGGTCTTTCGCTTCGAGAGATCTCGACGAAGTTCGAAAGACGCAGCTCAACTCGAGTGAACGCCAATAATTATTTCGTCCGTGACGAGAACCTCTGTCTCAACGGATAGACCGGGACGAGGCTCAAGCGGGATCGATGTGAATCAAAAGTTCCGGGACTCCTGACCTTCTCGCCCGAAACCAGAGGTCCTCGTCCGAACGGATGCATGTCTCGGAGTCCTGGCGAGCTAGCCTCACTAACTTAGAGTGCTCTGGGTCATGCCCGGAGCGTAGATACAAGCGCATCCGGGATGTGATGACTATTTACGATATCACCGGATGTGAACGTTGGAGCTGAATTTTTCCATGGAATATTTTGCACGGCAGGGTATCATAGTTCGGTCGCAAATGAGCAGCCTCATGCTCCCGGAAAGTCGAAGCAGAATTTCGTTCCGCAGGTGCCGTAGCCTCATTAATCCCGTCTGCAGGGCTCGGACGCGATTTTCCCGATTCGG